TATGTCATTCTCTCTCTCAAATAAATAAATAAAATCTTTAAAAAAAAAAAAAAAGAAATATTAGAAGGCAAAGCCAACTGAAAGATATCTTTAAAGTGCTTAAGGAAAAAACTGTAAATCTAGAATCCTATATCCAGTGAAATTATTTAAGAGAAATGAAGTTGAAATAAAGACATTTTCAAACAGACAAGCAGCTTAGAGAATTTGTCCCTTGCAAACCTACAAGAAATACTAGAAGAAATTGTTCTGGTTAAGGAGAAATTATATCAGATGAAACCCTAGATCTGCAGAAGGAAATTAAGAACAACAGAAGGGGTACCTGGATAAATATAAAATATACATTTTTTAATTTTTTAAAAAATAATTGTACATATTTGGTAAGACTATTAGCTATTTAAAACAAAAATAATTGCATTATATACTAGGGGTTATTGACATACAGAAGTAAAATATAAGGGCACTAGAGCACAAATTGATAGGGAAAATGGAATTATACTAGTGTTTCTCATAGTTTGTGAAGTGATATAAAATTATTTGAAAATAGACTGTGAGATCTTATATTTACATGTCATTATTTCTGGAGGAAGCCCTAGAAATACTCCCAAGAGCTGTAGTTTTAAAAATTCAATACAGGGAATAAAGTGAAATATGAAAAAAATACATGCTGCTTATAAACAGAGGCAGAAAAGGAGGGAAAAAAAGAGGAAGTAAAAAGCAATATGAAGATGTGAGATTGAAATCCACCTCTGTTAGTATCTGCATTGCAGTTAACACTCTTAAGATGCAGAAATTATTAGCTTGGTTCAAAAAAAACCAAGACCCAAATATATACTCTTCACCAGAAATTCACTTTAAATATATAAAGACTCATATGTTCTAAGTAAGAGAGTAGAAGAAAGTAAACTATATAAACAAAATATGAAAGATGGTGTGACATACTCCTGTGAGGCAAAATACACTTCAAGACAAATAGTATTATTGATAGATTTTTTTATAATGATGAAAAACATTATTTAATCATGAAGACATAACAGTGTTCAGTGTGCATGTGCCTAATAATTCATTCAAAATACATGAAGCAAAAATTGCCAGAACTAAGGAAAGAAATGGAAAAATCTACAATCAAGTTGGGGATTTAAACACCTTCTTCCATAATTGATAGAATAAGTAGACAAAAGAAAAAAGAAATTTGTGTCCTTATCACTCATCATCTACAAAAATTAATTCGAAATGGATGATAGAACTAAATTTCTAGGGGCACCTGGGTGGCTCAGATGGTTAAGCGTCTGCCTTCGGCTCAGGTCATGATCTCAGGGTCCTGGGATCGAGCCCCGCATCGGGCTCCCTGCTCCACGGGAAGCCTGCTTCTCCCTCTCCCACTCCCCCTGCTTGTGTTCCCTCTCTCGCTGTGTCTCTGTCAAATAAATAAATAAAATCTTAAAAAAAAAAAATCAGTCTTAAGGGTTTTCTGTATTTCGTGACAGTGTCTACACTACATTTGCAGTTGTCAGACTCTTAACTGTAAGCTAAAAAGATGACTTTATTGAAGGTAAATTATGCCTAAATAAAAGGAGATACAGGTGATCCTTGAACAACACGGGGTTGAACTGCATGCGTCCACTTATATGCAGATTTTTTGGATAAATACAGTCTAGTATACTAAATGTATTTTCCTTATGATTTTCTTTTTAAGATTTATTATTTGAGAGAGAGAGAGAAAGCACATGAGTGAGGGGAGGAGCAGAGGGAGAAGGAGACAGTCAGACTTTCCACTGAGCAGGCAGCCTGATGGGATGGCAGGGCTCAACCTGAGCTGAAATCAAGAGTCAGACACTTAACTGACTAAGGCAGGTGCCACCCCCGCCCCCATGATTTTCTTAATAACATTTTCTGTAGTTTATTGTAAGAATAAAGTATATAATACATACACAATTGGTAAGACTTCTAGTCAACAGTAGGCTATTATTAGTTAAGATTTTGAAGAGTCAAA